AGCAGAGACATTATGTAATTATCATATACAAAACAAAAATACACACACCATGGAGCAGGTGCCCACAACATTTTGACAAGGCCACGCCTCTAAAGTTCTTCCCTACCATAGTGCCACGCCTCTAAAGCTCTTCCCTACCATGGCGCCACGCCTCTAAAGCTCTTCCCTACCATGGTGCCACGCCTCTAAAGCTCTTCCCTACCATGGCGCCACGCCTCTAAAGCTCTTCCCTACCATGGTGCCACACCTCTAAAGCTCTTCCCTACCATGGTGCCACGCCCCTAAAGGTCCTCCCTACCATTGTGCTACACTGATGAAGCGCCCGCCATGCTGTGTCCCTGTGTGCCGCCCAGCCAGACGCCAGTCGATGGCGATCATATTACGCATCCAAACGGGTCGTTCATATCGGGCCGTTGCAGCCAGCGCTGTAATGGACACCGCCCGGGGGCAGGTGTCGCACTGAGGTTGCAGAGAGGTCGCCACGGCGATGTACTGCCCATCTGAGCTGCGCTTCATGCGGCAAGTATCCTACAGGCCAGAAAGACCAGGGAATGGGAAATGGGCAGCGAAAGGGGTGGAGCGGCCACAAAAAGAGGGCTCTGCTTGTAAGAGGGCGAGGGTGTCTGAAGCGATGCTCAGAGAATCACTCCTCCATGTAAGATTCCCATTTAGGAGTCAGACACCAATGGGGAAATCAGGGAGATGCACTTCCCCAGCAGATCCAGAACAGAGGAGCGCTGGTCGGAAACATCTCTGGAAGGAAGTGCATAGATATGTGGGTTATAGAGAAAGCAGCCTGATATGGCAGAGGGAATGCAGCATAGTCACAACGACGGCCATACGGCGACTGAATGGGGTGGGGTGGCAAATGGAACGTACAGCAGGGGGAGACCAGTCACTCCTTGATTATTGGCTCTTGCAGGTTCATTCCGTTGGGTAATAAGCACCATACCTCCAACATCAACACCCCAATGAGGCCACGCCCCCTCAGGGCCTCCCTCATGTACAGTTCAGGCTCCACGCTGCACAACGCGTGGGTTTAATGGCCCATGTGGTCGCACCACGTCCTCTGTGACCTCCGCCCCCCCCCCCCAGGACCATCAAGCTATTGAGTCTCATCCAGCTCAGCGAAGCAATTCTCCCAGTGCAGGAGTCTGTCCCCGGTGGGGGTGGGGGTCGTTTTAATTTGCAAGGAAATCACTCTGATTTGGAGTAGCAGGAAAGTCTGTTCCAATAAAAATCAATGGGATCGGTGGTGGTGGTGGGGGGGGGGGGGTGTAGTGGAATGATGGGCTTCCCAGCAACAATTCACATGGATACACCAGGGCTGAGCTGAATCAAACCCATATCTGTATCCCATACCCAACAGCGACGTATCCGAGGATTCCTGAAAAAGGCCGCTTGGAATCATCTTCACTCCTGCTTTCTCTGCAAACACCAGAACAAGTTCCAGGACTCAGGCACTCATGTGACACCATGACCCCCTGTGACCCCTGTGATGTTATCGTTCGGGGAGTTTCACAGTGAGTTCGCAAAAACCGAAAATGTCACTATTCGCATCAGCAGAATCACATCTTCTCAAAGGATCGATTAATGTTAAATTTTTCTTTTACATGCCTAAATAAAATGGTTAAGTGAGAAAGGTGACTAGCATTAAATAGTGGTTTTGTCCAGTTTCATCAATTTGTGTCCGGCAGGGCCTAGAAAGGTCTTTGTGTTTTCATTTATTTTATTGGAAACAACGGCAGGGGGGAGTGGGCTGAAGACCCCAGTGGCTGATAACGGAACTTGCTTTTCCTGGGTACGGAGACCTGGCGGGTTCCCATGGATACCGATAAGATCGTCAGGGGGGTGTGAACGTGCGATCTGAGCCTAAAATCGTTACCGCCTACTGGTCACCGTGCCCTTGGTTGATCCACCACAAAGGATCACACCGTCACACTCAAGGCCATGGTCCTGCTCTGGAAGGTTCCGCAGGCCATCCATGGTCTGAGCCCCTCTGCGACCCAGAATGGGAGTCTGGTATGAAATGGATAGAGAGAGTGTAATAGTGCGCCCAGCACCTGTACGGATTGTGCTGTTGGGCGGATGAGGGGGGGGGTCTTTTTGGTCCCCCTGACTCATGCACCAGCGGCATGGCACGTAATCGGCGGCTCCGATAAGAGAGCTGACTGGCTGCGCGCGGACCATGAGTCACGCCACAGCGCTGAAAGCGAGAGTGCTGACTCTAAGTGACTCTGACTCATTCATCACAAATCGTTCATTTGCTAACCCCTTCTAAGATATTTCACTTAATTTCACTGCTCAGAGCTGCTCGTCCTCCACCTTGCAGAACCCTCCGGAATTTTTTCCCTGCTTTCTTTTCATTCCGCCTTTTTTCCGCCGGAGTGAACACAATCAGGTGCGGCCCCCCCCCCCCCCCCCCCCCCCCCCGCCCCCCCCCCCCCCCCCCCCCCCCCCGCCGCCTTCGCTGAGCAGCGAGACAGACAGCCATACTCAGCACCGTGCCCCCCGTCAAGCTTGAACATGTCCAGCACGACCGGTGCGATAAAGCAGAAGTTTAACCTGCAAACGGGATACATCAGGACAGCCTGAGGCATAATCCAGCAGGAGAAAAACGACACATAAAATATCTACTGGCCACATTTTCCAAAAGTACCAATAAACGAAGAGTGGATAATGTATCCACCACAAATGGACAGACGCGTACACAGACACACTGCGCACACACACACACACACACACACACACATACACGCACATACATCTACAGGCCTACGGTGAAACTGAAAAAAAAAAACTGCTGTAAATTTCTGGGATGTTCCTGCATGACTTCGAATGAGGAAACGGGCCAATTTCCACCCGACTCGCTGACAGGAAGCGCATGCAGCAAACAGGCCACGGTGTACATTTCCTGCCTTTGCTTGCATGTGCCAAATAGCACAAGCTATACCTATAACAGCAATTATACACCATGGTATAGGCACACTCCAGTTCCTCGATAATCTGACACATACAACTTTATAGAAAGCTCAATAAAGGGTGTTTTTAATCATTAAAGAATTTTTAAACGTTTTAAATTTACTATGGAATAACAAGGTATCATTATGTCCTCTGTACGTTATGCATCCATTCATTTTCTAGACTGTTTATCTAGTACAAGGTAGCACTACACATAATATAATATAATATAATATAATATAATATAATATAATATAATATAATATAATATAATATAATATTCATTCTCATGATAAATGCGGCATCTTTCCCGCCAGGACTCTCAGGTGCTGGGACGCACTGCGCGCCTCGTAAGCTTCCGGGACCTGAATGCAGTGGACGCCACGTGAGCCCGGCCTGCTCCGATGGGCCGGGGGAGCAGCGCTGCGCCCTTGAGAATGTGCAGACGCTGGGCAGATAATGTCCTGACAGCGGAAACCCTAAACCTTTAGGAAATGGCAGCGCTTCTCTCCAGCCTCTCTCCCCGCCGCCTCCTCCGCTGGCCCCCTGCCTCGCACTGACCCAGCCGCCACCGCCGCGGTTTGGCTGCATCCTTAGGAGTGAGCAGGGGGAGGGGTTACTGATTCATAATTATTATATCGCATTCAACTGAAAAGAGGAAAAAAAAAAAAAAGAAACGCTCCAAAACTGACTAGTGGGAAAATGTTATTTACTCTGCTCAAAAAAAAAATATTCCAAATAATCCATAAGAAACTGGAAGTCCTATAATCCTGAAACCAGAGACCCAACCCTGTAGCTTGCAGGATTAAAAAAAAATATATATTGCAGATAAGATTTTGTTTAAAAAGCACAGCTTTAGCCTGTTTTTGGCACTGGGTGACAATAACCAGTTCCGTTAATTGTGGCCACTGGCACAGTTACGGGTGACTTGACAAATTATCTGCTGCAGAATACTGGAGATTGCGGACACTGAAATATTTGTCTATGGACACTGCAGGAATTGTACAGTACCATACCAAGCAAGAAAATACCAAAAGACTTCAAAATACTGAATATATCAAGCACAATGACAGAAGCTTTATTGTATAGCTAGTACAGGCTGCTTATTTGCATTTCGAATTTTTCCTAGGATAAAGCATTACAATTCTAATTTGTATCTCACATATGCAATATACGTGTGTACTTTTAATCTGAATGCAATTACTCATTCATTTAGTTCATATTCGACAATGAAATGGTTAATTGGCCTCACGCGGCAGGGCGCGCGCCGTTGCAAGGTCAAAGATCTCCGTTTACCGTTCGCACGTGCACGCTGCATTTCTGCGCGCGTCAGCAGGCCACAGGAGGAAGGCGTGCACATATGCACTGTAACAACTCCAGTGTTTACTGTAATTAACCACGTTATCTGCGCTGTAACGCTTTATTACAAGCGCATATCTATAAAAGTAAGGTAAAGGCGTGCCGCAAGACACGGCTCGTTAATAATGAGAGCGACACTGGTACTGCGTTTAATGCAGTTCGTTGAAATCATACCAGCATTCTATATGAATATTAACCTTCACGTACATCTATTACCCATAAAATTTCTAAATCCGCGAAAAAGTAGCTTTGCACAGTCACACACCAGTACTATTTCGCATTTACAAGGCCAAAACAGGCAGTAAGTGATACTCAAGTTTGTATTATTTTTAATGTCGGAATCTTGCATGCAAAATGGTCCCAGGTGAAAGAATTTGCACCGGATGCACGTTGATTTAAATCTGGAAAAAAAAAACGTACGTGTGCTTGCAAAATGAGCAGTGCTAAGCTCTCAAGCATGTGCGTTTGCGTGTGTGCGTGTGCGCTGCACGGGTTTGCACAATCTGCGTTGGTTAGTCATGCGTGCTCTGCCAAACTTTCTGTTTTTATCGCTGAAAATTCTTCAGAGGAGGCGAACTGAAAGACACGAAAATGAACAGCCTCGAATATTTGCCATTTCAATGACTTTAATAAGCAAAATATGAAACCATTTCTTCCAAAAACAACGAAAAAGACGAAACAGAAACCAGCCTGAATGGAACTACAACAATCCAAATTTAACTTTTTTTCATTTATATAAACAGGACTGAAAATTGATCCCCTCGCAAAACACATGAAATAAAAAAAATCCGCCGCTGCAGTTTCGATTTGATTTCAACACAGTTGAATCAGCATCAGTACAAACCAAAGATTGTTAAATGCGTGACTTTTAACAATAGTTTTAAATGCAAGCACCATGCTTATTCCATATGATCTGACTGTTAATTTAAATCATTAAAATAAAACTTAACTATGCATCTGGCCAGCAGAACCAGAACATCCAAATAATAAAACAAAATGATAATAAAATATAACCATACACATATATAGTTTTCATTTTGAGATTTTGCAAAACCAGAATCCTTTTTTTTACTGACCGGCAGAAAAAATATAGGAAAACATATAACATTTATCATAAAAACTTTGATTTATAATATACACAATGACGAAATAATACGCAAAACGTAAATAAATCCCTGATTTTATGCATGCTGACAGATATTTACAAAGTGTGTGTGATTATCTGAGGAACCACCGGGTTGAGTACATCTGTCCCTCACGACTCCGGTTGTAAAGTGGAAATTATATGACTTGTATATTTCGTTTGTGTTATATAATAGACTTATGCCATAGGTGGCGGAACTGTTATTTGTTGTTAAACTCTCCTCCTTAAACAGGGAGCCACAGATCATCAATTGCAATTAATTTCGCACACCGTATTTGACAGCTAATTTGTAATGTGTACTTTATTAACAACCTGCGAGACAAAGCTACTGACGTGGAGTACAATTCATTAACGGCGAATATAACTGCGAATCTCTTAATATAACAGTTCGGTACGCCATTATAGCTATTTATTAGTCTTTAGAGTTGCCACACCTCTGTGCTTTCAAATACATCATATAATAATCCATATATAGTATGTCTTCCTTGAAGGGGGTCTGCAAAAACCCAAAATGAAAACTTAAAATACCAAAATCATGATCCAGAAAAGTGCACTTAATATACAAAGTCTGTTGTCGTTTAATGCAACTGCAAAAATGCCCATATTTCGGAAACGCAATACCCAAACAATGGAACAAAAGAAAAGTTTTAAATCAGCCTCCTTAACCCCGTTGGTGTCGTTTGCCGTTGCGTATATTTACAAGCTAAACCCAAAGAACGCGAAACTGCACGATCTTTAATGTTGACACTGTCACCACCTCATTTCTAAAACCCAAAAACGGCTAATGGAAAGCTCAGATCAACAGCATGCTTTGAAAATACACACGGGAAAAGAAAGTACAAAATAGAAATTATTACCATACATGTCCAGCATGCAGGATTAATATTTAATGCAGTTTTGTTTTATATATATTTGTATATAACCAAGCAGGCAATAAACCGATGAGATGTTGCATAAAATACCCCGCTTTTGACAGTTTAAAGTTTGAATCGGGATACAGGAACGAAATAAAGTTTGCATATGTTGAGTCATTTTTTTCCCTCTCATTTCTTTCTGGTATTTTTTTTTTCGGGCAAGTGCAGAATGCAAGTCTTAGTACTCTCCTTCCAGCGCAACCGTTTTATATTTCTTAAATCGAAAAGAAAAAAAAATCACAGTAAAAAGACTAGTCCGATATCATCCCATGCTCCTAACAGATTAAAGCGACCTACAAAGAAAGTTCAGATTCAGCTTCTCATCTCTTTTTCGGGGAGAAAAAGTCTTCTCTACAAGCTACTATTCTACAAAGATGGTGCACTTCTGAAAAACGTAATTTGTTGTTCTTTGTATTTCAGTCGGATGGAGATGGCTATATACGAGATTATTACTTTCAGGATATTTCTTCTAATATGAATACAGTTGTTAATAGTATACTCGGAATCAGTAATATCGGTTATTTTTTTCCTTTCTCTTTCTCAGCATCAGTTGTCGGACATCAGAGTAACTCACATGAAAAATTCTGGCGAGGACGGGTTGTCACTTGTGGACCCAGCCTCACGGAACCCGTTTGTACCAGTAAGTTTCTCGCATTTCATTTTATATGCATCTCTTTCGCGGGCCAGCCGGCTGATCTCCTGCTTGAGCTGCTCTACCTGATTGATCAGCTGGGTCTTCTCGTTCTCCAGGACATGCTTCTGCTGCACGCGCTTGAAACGGCACGACTGAGCGTAGCCGCGATTCTTGAGGGTCCGGCGCTTCTGCTTCAGGCGAATCACCTCGTCCTTAGTGAAGCCGCGCAGGTGTCGGTTGAGCTCTCTCACAGACATGGACACCAGCTGGTCATCGGAGAATCGGTCCTCTACGTTGAGCCCCCCTCCTCCGCCGTGGTGACCCTGCTGGCCCGGATGGGCGTGCGGGTGATGGTGATGGTGGTGGCGGTGATGGAGTTGCTGGTGGGCCCCAGGCGAGGTAGGAGATGGGCTGTCGGGGTCCTGGCTGTGATGATGATGCTGACTGTGTGCATGGTTGTGTGCACCAGGGTGTCCTGGCAGGTCGTCCGGGTGGTGGGAAATCCCCGGGTATTGATGGTGGTGCTGCTGGGCATGACTGTGACTGTGGTGAAGATGTGCTGCCCTGTATCCCTCATAGCTTCCCTGCTGAAGTTGCTGTTGGATGTGAGGAGGCGGAGGATGCCCGTGGGCCGTAGCGCCGATCAGAGCTTCCACGGCGTCCTCCGGCGTCAGGTTCAACGTCTGCGGATCGATCTGCTGGTGGTAGCCGCTGCTTGGCATCCAGTAAAGCTCTTCCAGGTGGTTCTTTTGCTCGGTTGGACTAAAGCTTGGCGAGGAAGGTACTGAGCTGCAGGGGGTGCTGATCGGAGTAGAGGACACGGAGCCCTGCGCCTGGAGCCGATTGCACTGCCGGACGGAAGGACGCTCGATCCCAGCCACGGCTTCTTTTTTAACGTCGAACTTCATCAAATCAAAGTCATTCACGTATTCCAGTGCCAGCGGACTCGTCGGCAGGTCCGGACCCATGTTCATTTCAGCGCTCATCGTTTCTTTGTTTTGCAAATAACTGAACGTACTTGCCAGCGCCGCAAAATCCGACTTTTGACTCGCTTTCCTTCTTTCTCTCATGCAAAGGTCCTTATTTCAAATGTTCTTCAGCCACTGGAGTTCTTAACACGCAGCTGTGTTTACATAAAAAAAGAAAAAGAAAAAAAGAAAAAAAAACACGTTATTTTAATGTACAGCAAATGACATTGGAAATCGCGGTGCTATAAACTACTTAGACAGTGGAGTAGCTCAGGAAACGAAAAAAGAAGAGGTAGAAATAACGTCTCAGTGCAAAAGTAAGAAACGAAGTCCTTTCAGCAGAAACAAACGAACATAAATAATAAAAAAATAGGCTACCGAGCTCGGCTGCCACCCCAACGACGTCCCGGAGCAGCAATTCTGTACTGTATGTCCTTTTGCCAAAAAGAAGGAGGTAAAGAGGAAGACGACAGCGCCTGCTTTTTGCTCGGACAGCAGCTTTCCAGCTCTGCACCGCAGAGATTTGGGCCCGCTTTCCCCTCGCACTCGCTCTCGCTCCCGACTTTCAGTGTGGACTGCGCCGAAGGGCTAGCCTGCGCTTTGTTATAGCCTGGCTGATGTCAGAGAAGGCTGGTTAAAGCCGCGCTCCTCTCCAATAGCGGGATCCTCATTAGCATAATGATCCTGGAAGGGGACAGCTAGAGACATCAGCTAACTCGCCGTGGAAAGCTAGAGGAAAGGGACACAAGGAATGAATGCCTTTACATTTTTTTTTTCTCATTTTATGGCAGCAGCGAATTTGCACTATTGTTACTATAAAAACAAAACAGTGTCCCTTTGTTGCACATACCGAATACTGCTAAAGTTTCCAGTCAATAAAAAGAACTTATTTAAACAGAACTTCCCACCATATTAAAAAAATATATAATAACACGTGTTAAGGTGCGTTACAATCCAGTTCAATAAAATGATTGATACGAATCAGAGACAAAAAGAGCACGAAACATTCAAATATTTTATTGCAGTTTAACCAAACAACGTGATGAGAAGCCGAAGTAATGTATGAGAACGGATGAAATATTAATAGATAAGAATAAATTGTGTCCTTACAGGGATCACACAATGTGTTTATGCTTGTCATACTGTAGCTATGACTAGTTAGGCACATTTGGCTAAGACCATCTTCTGCATGACCTGTGCGTAAAAATAACATCGTGTCACACTATTATAAAACCGCTTGAGATTGCATTTTGAACCAAATGGAGAATCTTATCTATGGCAGCGTATATGTGTCATTTATATAATGTATTTCGACAAGGCTGGTTTAAAATGTGCATTATCCAGCTGTTTTCATGTTCTTTTTACCGGATCATGGCTAAGTACTGGAGTGTTTGACAGCGCCGCCTGGACGGACAGCGCGCCTCGTTTCTCGCTGAACGTTTCGTAATGTTCCCCAGAGTCGCAGAGCGAGAGCGGTCGTCCGGCCATCGGAAAACGCGCTCAACACTGACCCTAAGTGGTCATTTCACACCCTAGACCAATACCGAGTCCAGCACGCAATACGAAGTGAAATTATTTTACCCTTTTTCAAAATACGGCACATTTTCCGACAACACAACAAAACTTTAATAATACACTTAATATAATCATGCGGATGCGCACCTTTTGTTAACAATGGTAGGTTGGGTTTATATGTGTCAGTAAACAATTCAGGGCGTGTGTCGTAAGAAAACACGCGACAATTTAAATAGGCCTATAGAAAACGGAGGATTTAACAAAATCCCCATATATCCTAACGTTTTCAGATGTTTTGCGCAAGCGGTACATTGCTTGATAATTAGCCACCGCAAAGGAGAGATACAATTATTACTGCTTCCTCTAAGTGTAAACGCTTCATTTCAACGCCCTATACATCCTTATCGATTATTTAGTTTATTAACCCGGCCGAGTGTAACAGACACTGTTATTCAATAATCAAACAGGCCTGTTGTTTGATTAAATTCTCCAATCATTTGATCAAAGGATTGCTGTATGTAAATAGCGCTAAAGGGCATTTATTACACTTTGATCGCTATCAAGCTACTCACTATCTGAAAGAAGTAGGTTACGTTTAAGGCAATACGACGACCAAGAGGCACAGGCCTACAACTTTAGTCAAAATTCTGAGTTGTTTTCACTGGCGATTTATCGCAACCGACATAGGCCTACTACGTTTTCTTGCAATTACAGTGACATCTGAGTAACATTCTTCGTAACCGCATGGTTAAAATGGTGAGGAGACGCTAAACACTGTATTATAATTCGATTTCGGGGAGCTTGTTTACTTGTTTACCTGCGTAGCGCACAGTGGACATACATCTATTCCAATGGATGTAAGGGAGTCTGCTTTTCGCTATCTTACGGCCGACGACCTTCACGCATTTTAAATGAACATCTGATCTGTCTGCACAGCACATCTATGACCTAAATATAACATCCTTCCGGATTTTCAGTTAAAAACAATAACAATAAACAAACAAAACGACCTTATTACAACGGGATTGCTAGTATTATTTAAATAATATTAAATGATTGACGTGTTGAAATAAGGAGGTTCATCTGGACCTAAACCAGTATAAAAAGTAGGACAATAAGCGCGGGAAAAGTACAGAATACATCTTCCTTGGAAACCCGTTTATCCAATTCACCAGTTTCCAGCAATGGGGACAAACACCACGGGAAAAAATAAAAGTTTTTCAAATGTTTGACACCAAGGGTTATTATCTTACATACTATCACAATCATTTTTGAGGCTCACGGCGTCCTGTTCTCATTGTGGATACGCGTTTAATGTTTTACAAATGCATTGTCTACAGATGTACCAAACTATAACCAAAGATTTGATTTAACACTGTATCATAATGATGCATACTGATTCATTACCATCACACAGAAAGCGAGCACACGTTACACATTCCCGACACCCACTATCTCTGAGGCATCAGGACGCTTTACTTACGCCTGCGAAATTCGTTTTTAAAGAAAAAAAAAAACTCATTCTTAAGATAGAAATGCCGCTAAATACTTAATCGAGATGTTTAAGGTAAATAATCAGAAGCCGGATGCGAAGCATTTGCATAAGCATAAGCTATAAAACCTAGCATGGAATCATCTACAGGTACAGGCGTTCATTTGCCACACTGATCCGTATGTTAGTCCACGCCGGGACACGCAAAAAACACGTTTTCTCTGAGGCCAGCCTTCCAGCAATGCCATTAGCTTGTAGTAATGCGTTCTAATATAGCTAGGCCTGCTGTAGGATTCTACTCCTTTGGTAATAGCAGGTTGTAATGGAGAGGAGATGTAAAAATGTCTAAGTCAGCAGCGTATTGGCGGTTAATGATCTATTAAGTGATCCGTGTGCTTACAGACAGCGAAAAAAAAGTGTTGATGCTTGCTTATTCAGACTAATGAGATTCCCATCCTACGAATTTTAAGAATGAATAACAGAAGTAAAATCACCTTTATAATGTTGCTTTTAACGGTTTGACAAGGTGCCGCGTGGCGGACCTTATAGCTGGAAATGCACTGTCCCTGCAGCACGCGCTACGCCCCGAGCTTTTCGCCATCTGAAATTGCCCGGGCCTGTCATCGGCCGTAATAACACGGGGGGACACTTCTGTCGCGGCAATGCCCAAGACTGCACATCGGACCGGGACATTTCTAGGAAGAATTTAAGAAGTATTGCTACCGGGCGCCGATGTAGGTAAGGAAGGCGTGGTGCGTTGTCAAGGGTCCTCTCTTGCCTGATTAACGACTGGATGCGTTGCAAAGGGTCATACCGTTACTGCTTGTTGTATTTATTTTCTCACATATAGATGCATTTTTTTATTTTTAAGGCAAGCTTTTGACAGATGCATATAGGTAATGGGTCTGCCCTATTCATCCAAGCCGCTTTTAGGCACAATGATTAACATAAACAATTCCAATAGATCATTAATCAAATCGAGGAAAAAGAAAGTGTGACTGACTGTCAGATCGTAATGTATTTACGGAGTTGTATTCTTTAAACAAAAACATATAGTTCTTAATCTGGCGATTCATCTACGACGCGCAAGTCTTAAGTTCAGAAAATTTGAAATGTAATAAATGAACGATCGTGTAGTTTTACACAGATATTTTTGTCCATAGAATATGCAGTTAAAACTTTTTAATCCTAATAAATCATCAAGTGTGAGTATAGATCAATACGCATATTATGTGATATATGGAGTTTTCAACACTTTGTTTATAGCGTATGTGTGAATCCTAAAACGTGGAAAACAGTCCGGCAAACTGGTTTAGTGTGCAGCTAATGCCTCGGGCTAATTGACCGCGCAAGTTATAAAAATATAGATTAAACGCTATTCAAGAGATATTAACGGCACAATCCTTTTTTCGTTTGACACGGAATGGAATTAATTTACATGGTTTTATTTACTCATACTTAAATATGATCGCTTGCAACAGCGCTGTAATCTCGCGGAGCAGTAAATCTGGTGATGTTAGACCATTCTATAAAACTCCTTTCTACAAAATTGAAATGCTGCGCCTCTGTTCACCGAAACAGATCACCACGCGTGCGTTACTTAGAAAGGTTAAACCGCTTCGGTAAAAAAAAAAAAAAAAGCGTTCAAAATCCGAGCTAAATATGTTTTTTAGCTGTCTAATTTTCTTTGTATGCGTTTGGTGTTATTCGTTAACAATACTGCAAAAAAACTCAAACTTATGTAAAGCGGACTGGATTTCACTTAGGCAGTAAGACATAGGATACTTGGCATTTCAGACGTTCTCGTTGGGAAAAAATATCTTACTAAGCAAAATATTTATTCGTGAAATTCTGTGCATGTGCCCTGAAATCTGAGGTGTATATAGGTCCTACAGTATATCTTACAGTTTTCAGTGATATTTCACATACGAAAAATTAAATATTAAATCATTCCCACTGAGAGTTGTCAGTTATGTGAAAGGTTTGAATGACGTGGGACTGATTACGGCGACTTTCTCATCGGCTGTCCAATCCATATTAATTCAAAAAGCTTCAAATTAATCAAGTAAGGTATGCTACAAATGTCAGAATTTGTCCTCCACCTTCCAGTCACTGGAAAAGGATGGTGCAGGTGCAATGTTAAATTAAAATGCAAAATACCCGAGGAACATCAAAAAATGGATTGACCTGTTTTCTGAAGTCACATATTCTAAGCCTCGTTCGTCTGTAAAATATATAATTATTAGAGTCATGTTACATTTTTGCTTTTAATTACTGGTTGTAAAACGTGAAATGTTCATTAAAAGCGCGGGGATGCTAAGGCTGAAGACTTGTACACGCTTGTAAGGTGATTGAAATAGTTTATTGTGAAGAACAGTTTCCTTATGCATTCGTTAGGCTAGAGCTCCCCTAGTGGGCAATCATGGTAAGACCCGCAAGTTCAAAAATGAACCAACGTAACTGAACACCAATAAATAATGGTTTTTAATAAATAGAGATTGAATAGTTTGACTGGTCATTCATATTCCTATAACATAATTAACTTAATATGCTTCATTTATTCGTAAACATCACGTATGAAGAATCTC